AGGGCAGGTTGCACATGGCCCTGGCAGTTTCAGCCTGAACCTGAGTGAGCTCTCGTGCACGGCTCTCCGTGCGCCCTGGGTGGGTCCCTGCCTGGGCCAGTGCTTAGGAGCTCATCTTGTGCTTTTTGGGGATTTAGACAGGCTGCATGCTCATCCTCCTCCGCACACAAAGAACAGAAAGAAAGGTTCCCAGCATACAGCCTTACAGCAAGGCTTGCACAGTGACACTGACTATCCCTGGCAGATTCTCCCCTGTACTTCGGGCACACAGGTGCCATCGCCCTTGCTGATGCGTGAAGCGGTTCTGGAGTGCTCTTTCCCAAGTGTCTTTATAAGATGTGATAGTGTAGATGTTGCTGCCAGTGCCAGCCAACAGAAAGAGGCTGGACAAAACACTTCGGCATGTCCTCGTCTACCTTGTCCATCGGGTCTGGCAGCGTGTGACATCGGTCATTCCCAAAAGTCACAATGACCAGACAGGTTAACAGCTTGAATGGATTCAGGACTTCAAGGCAGCACAGTCTAAGACTCTCATGAAAGAGGATGCCCAGAGCTGTCACGAGGTGCGGCAAGAAGGAAGGGGTTGTCGTCTGCATGGGGGGCGGGTATCCTAAGGGATTCCTGGCAGCTTGTCTCCTACTGTGACAATTTTTTGAAGTAAACATTCACTGTGTGTTTTGGTCACATTTCATGCAATTCAAACTCCTGGTCTCAGTTGGTGAGGAGCCAGGGATCTAGCAGGCCCGGTGACTTTGGGGTGAGCTGCTGGTGGTGGGTGCTTTAGGGGTAGGGCAACGTCTCCATCTCCTGAACCCACATTAGGAGCACAGCCCATGCCAGGAAAGGACCCTGGGGCAGCCCTAAGCCCTCCTCCCTCCATGGAGCATCCTCCAGTGGCCATGGAGGACACCTCTCTTGGCTTTACACGGCACTGGCAGACGTGGCCCAGTCCTTAATCAAGTGACTCTGAGTTACTCTCCAGGGATGACACTGGGGCGCCTGCCCTGCTCTACTCAGGGGAACCCAGACAGCTTCTCTGGCTGATGTGAAGAATGGGCTACTGAGTGGTGGGGGAGGGAGGGCTGGGGGCAGGCGCTAGAGATGCGAGCTGAAAGAGACCCCACGGCTGACGCCACCAAGAAAATGGTGACTCAAAACATGGATGTATCTTGACTCCCTGACAGAAGATGGGAGCCAGGGTGGTGTCTTGCTCTGGCTCATGAGGTCCTGAGCATGGGACCCAGGGAGGCCAAGCCTGAATTCCTGCCCCATGGAAACTGTGAGGTCATAGTGGGGGGTGGCTTAAGTCATTCATTCTGTGATTGTCACTAACCAACTCAGAGAATTAACTCAGATCACCATGTGCCAGTCACTGGTGTCCAGAGCAATTGGTCTCTGACCTGACCTTTGGCTATGCACTTTGCCAACCAGAATAAAAGTCTACGGTTTCCAGTCTTCCTTGCAGCTAAGAACGACCATGTCCGTGTCTTTGCGCTAAATAAGAAGGGTGTGGAGCTTTGGTGTCTGATCACAGGGACAGCAATTTAAAAGAAGAATAGAGCCCAAAAATAGATCTGATGGCAGGCACTCCAGCAGCTCTCTTGAACTATGAGGTAGATTGTGAATATGGAAGCTATGTATTAAGACAGCATAGGGCCAGCCAAATAGCTCAGTGGATTAAAGTGCCTACAAGCAGGCGCAGGGGCCAGGCGTTCGATCTCCAGGCCTGCTGTGCCGGCCCCGCCCCCAGGGGGCGCACTGAGATGGAAATTGAGACTGGGCATGATGGTGAGTGCCTGTAATCCCAGCGCTTGTGAGGCTGTAAACAGGAGAATCACTACAAGTCTGATATGGTAGTGAGACCCTGAACACCATGTAGGTTCTTCCCTAAAATACAGGGGGACAAAAAAAAAGAACAGGAAGACCGGAAGAAACTAGACCTTTCATGGTCCAGTGGAGCTATCATCCTGATTTTGGCTGGTTGACCTTCAGATTTCTTTTTATTTTTAGGGAAGGGTCTACAGGATGTTCAGGGTCTCACTACTAGAGCAGACTTGTAGTGATCTGCTTGTTTACAGCCTCCCAAGAGCTGGGATTACAGGTGTGCGTCACCATGCCCAGTCTCAACTGCTGTCTCAGTGTGCACCCGGGGTGGGGCCAACACAGCAGACCTGGGGATTGAACCCCTGGCCCCTGTATCTGCTTCCAGGTACTTTTTTTGTGGTACTGGGGATTGAACTCAGGACCTTGTGCTTGCCAGGCAAGCACATATGCCACTGAGCTATATCCCCGGCCCTCAGACTTCTTTTGAAAAGAAACTTATCTCCTTTAAACCAGTTACTTTGGGGTTTCCTGCCATTATGTAGGTGATACCCCAAGTAGGATGGCCACCCTACTCATCTCACAGGGGAGCTGAGGCATAGACAGGACAGTGAGTTTCCCTGAGGCAGATGTCCCCAGCTAAGTCAGTAACTGGGCTGGGCTGGAACTAACCCACGCCCTCTTCCTACACTTCCTGCTTGGAGGAGACTCCTCCTTCTCCCCCAGGTAAATACTCAGAGAAGCTGAGTGTCTTCCAGAGGATGTGAGCACGTGCCCTTGTCCCCAGCTGTGGCCCTCCAGTCCCTGCAAAGTGCACATGGCCAGAGCCCCCTCCCATCCCCATCCCCCACCCACAAACCCCAGAAGAAAGGGCTCGAGTGCTCCCTGATCCTCCTGGAAGCCCTCCTGGGCCTCTGCCCCTCATCCCTGACACCATCCTGTCACTTTTGATGGCTCAAAATCCCTCTGTGGCCCTCAGAGCCGTGAGCCGGCCTGGAGGAGGCTGACTTACCGCTGTGGCCCTCCAGTCCCGCCTGCTGTAGACAGTAAGGCCTGTGGCCCCAGGGCAGTCACCTAGCACTGCCCAAGCATGGGAGAGGGGCCAGAAGTGGGGGCTTGCTGGAGACAGGGTCTGGGCATGACGTGTGACCTCATGGAAGTGGGCTGAGTGGTGGTGCCATGAAAACCATCCCCTGCCCCCCATCCTGGACACTGGGAACTCAATGTCACTTGGACAGAGGTCGCTGTGAACCCACCTGCTGAGGACGTGAGGGGGAATCTCCATGGACCCTAAAAAAGCCAATGATAAGCATCTTCTTTAGAAGCGTAGTGGAGGAAGATGGAGAAGGCTACATAAGACAGAAGCGGCCTGGCCGAAGCAGCCACGAGGCAGGAGTCCCAATGAGGCTGGCGAGAACTTCTCCCAGACCCGATCTGGACGTCTGGATCCAGGGCTGTTTGGAGAATACCTGTTTGCGGTTGAAGCCACAAGTTCATGGAAATTTGCTACGGCCGCTCAGGAGGCTCAAATGCTCACCTCCAAAAGAGCTGAGAGGGAAGGACTCCATAGCTCCCAGCAAGGCCCAGGGGGTGGGGTAGCACAGGAGGGCAGGTTAGGCCCTGAGCCCAGCCATGGAGGAAGCCCCTAGTTCAAGGTCAGACTCAAAGATTGAGGTCCCCAAGCAGTGTGGCACCAGCAGGGGAGCTGAGCACATGTGCAGCTGGCTGTGGTACAGGGCCAACACAGGCAGGACACTGGAGGCCGCACTGGGGCCACAGTCCCATCTCCCAAGCAGCCCCAGGGGGATCCAGCCTAAGGGAGCGCAGGGTTGAGCTGACTTTGAAGGCCAACAAGGGTCCCAGTAATCGTTAGCTGGGAGAGTGTGCAGTTCCATCAGCTCTCTGCCTGCAGTGAGGAAAAGCTCCAAGGCGTGGAGGGCTCAACAGGAGGAAGCTGGGAAGGCAGTGAATGTCAATGGCGAGCAGGTCCGCAGGACCTGTGGGGTCCTGGAGAGAGGCTGTGGGGAGAGTCCGCTTGTCTTTCCTGCCATATGTGCCTCTGACAATCTGGCTTATGCTTTCCTACTCTTACAGGTATCTGGGGACAGTGTGTCTGTCGTGTTAGGGATGGCAGCTGGCACTGGCCCTTTTAGAGAGGCGGCAAGAAACACAAGGGTGGCGGCCCCTCCGCCCCCAGCCAGAAGCAGCTGCATGAGAGGGGGTTCCCGGGGGCCCCGATCTGTGGATTTCACAAGAGAAGCCAGATTTGCACATTTTTTTCCACTCCGATCTTTTGATTTTCAAAAACATGCTGGCAGTGAATGCATGTTTTAAAACATGGGTAAACACCAGGCCGGGGGAATAAGGCACGACTGGGAGGACACATCTGGACCTCCGGTTTGTGGCTCTGGTCTTTGGCCTGGAAAAGAGAACAAAAGCTGAATTGTGCATCAGGACAATGACAGGAGGATTTGGAAATCACAGGGGCTGGAACTGGTTAGGAGTGGCCGCGCAGTCGGAGGCAACTGGGGAGAGCATCAGCCTGTCCAAGAATTGGGACGCACTGGGCAGCATCTATCAGCTGACCACAGCACACTTCAGAAAGCCGAGACTCAGCGTGTGTGCTGCCTGTGGCCCCCAAAATGTTGCTCCAAGCACAGGGCCCCAGGACCCGCTGTCAACCGCTGGAACAGGACCGCACAGCAGCCCCCAACAGCCACAGCCCCGTGCTCTGGACAATGCTGGCTCTGGGGTCAGCACGGCTTTCAAGTTTTGGGTGTAAGCACCCCCCACCCCAGTTCCTCTCTTGTGCCTCCATTTTATTGGGATGACTAAATCTTTCAACTATGTTAGCCGTAAACACAGCTAATTTACCCCCTGCCTCTTTGAAACAGCTGCTAACAGCTGCACTGTAATTCAATCAAGGGTCCTCGCAGAGGAGCCTACCAAATTCACATTTGTTGTTGAGTTCCATCTCTCCTGCCTGGAGCCCCACACAGCTGCAGCGAATACTGACAAGGCGCCCCAGCCCCCAGGCCTGGCAGATAAACAGCATGCTAATGGCGTGGAGGAGTCCTGGGGTCCAGGGGAATACGGAGAAGCGATGCACACACACTCAGGCCCAAGAACGAGAACCAAATGACTGCTTTTATTGCAAAGTCAAAACCCTTTTTATTATGTCTATTTATACAGTTTTCACTAAGAAAGGCTGCTCGATGTGACAGCCGTGGGTACATCGATCCAATCATCAATAAATAATCTTAAATAAGAAAACAAACAGGTTGGAGGAAAGCAAGCTCATTCTGAACAAGGGATGAAAGGAGCGTTTGCAAAAGAGCTGCAGATGGAAATAAATAATTTTGTCTCATCACGACTATTTACACGTTTTAATGTACAAACGATGCTCAGCAGCAGCTGGCTGGGGCCCTCAAGTAGTGGAAAAACTCACACCAAACAGAGTTACACAAAAGGTCTCAGGCCTGCCAACAACAGAACAAATCCTAACAAAAAATTGTCATCTCCCAACAGCCAGGCAGTGAGAGCTGTAGCCCAAGCTACTGAAGAAGAAAAAAGAAAAAGAATAAAAGCAGAGCCCCAGTGGCTCCAGGCATGGCGAGAGCAGCTGCCGTGGACCCCAGTCTTTCTGCCCATCCTGCCTGGTAGACTGTGTTCTTTGAGTACCATGTGAGAAATCCTCTCATGAAGCCCAGCCCTCCTGCACCTTGTGCTTACAGCCCCGAGCTGCCGCACACCCTTAACTAGGTGAGAGCAGAGGCCACAAGGACTGGCACCCAGGGCCACAGCAGGGACACCAGCTCCAAGAAGGCCACTCAGTTGGCACATCACTCTCTAGGTCAGTGGTGGCGAACCTAGGGGCACACGCTGCAGCGAGCACGCACAGCCCTTCCTGTCTGCGTGGAACCGAGTGTATGAGTCCTTTTTCCAACCTAAACCTCAGTATTCAGGCTGAACGGCGGTGCTGGCACTCTGAGATCCGTAAGGGGTGCAGTCTGGCCACTGGGTTTCTGAAAGGCTTGCCACTGCTGTACCAGATCTTCCCATTTGCCACCTGAATCCAGCTCACCCTGCACCCACCAGCCTTCCTGCTGCCCTGGCTCTTAGTTCAAGCAGCAAATCTGCAGAGCTCTCCTAGGGGCAGACAAGTGAACAGTCACCTGCAATGCCACTGTGAACTCAGCCCTGCACATCACCGAGGAGTCACCAAGCACCCTGCCTGGAGAAGGACAGCTGCCGCTTCCCCTATGCTGTGACAACTGCATCTCTTCTGTGTCTGTCAGTTTTAACACCAAGCTCACGTTGCAAGCGACACCCTACTGTGTCCTTGACCACTCTGCTCTACTTTGCTCTTACCGTGGGGGGCCCGCAGCCCCAAGACTGTCTGCCCAGGTCGCTCTTCTGCCAACACACATCTGGCTGCAGGCTGACAGAACCTCCCTCCTCCGGGTACAGTCATCCCTCCCACCCTCCTGTGTCTTGGATTTGTGTGGATCTGGGTAAACACACAGCCCCACACTGAAACCAGAATGCAATGGAGGGGGCCTCCTCGGCTCTGCTGGCTACAGCTTCTGTTTATAAAGTCAGAATAAACCCAGAAACAGGGATAAACTGTTTAGGAAAATATACCTGTAACATCCTAACCATTTTCATTCATTGGTTTTATTGTGACATTTATTACAAGAAATTCTGCGTCAGTTTCGTCACAAACACAGGCTCCCACCCTGGCCACATCCCCTCCTGCAGCTGGTGGCTGGCTGCTGGCCGAAGCGTGCCCTGATCACCTCCAGACCAGGTCAGAGTGTAGCGGGGACAGCGCAGCCAATGACCATGGCTGGGTGCTCTTCCCTCACAGAACTTTTTCCTGCTAGGTTTTGCCTGTCCTAGCTCCTTGTCCTTAGAATCCACCGATGAAAAAAATTGATCTAAAGCTGCTTGGTGCTCACATTCCTAATGCTCCTGTAAAATTAGGGGGGGCTCATAAAAGGAGATCGGCCACTGGTTCCTCGCCAAGGTGGGCGATGAAGACACCGGGCAGTGCCAACTGTGGAGCTGAGTGAATGAGACCCCGAGGGTGGGACTTCCACAAGGGGCTAGTGGCAGCCGCAGGCCCGGACCACCATGTTTCTGTATTTCTTCAGGATGACATTGGAGCTGTCGTCGAAGTAGAGGACAGAGATGGCATTGAGCTGGGTAGGGGCGCAGCAGGGCTTGGGCACAGTGTCCGGATTGATGAAGTGGACCTGTGACGTGCAGAATGGGGACAGGTGAGACAGGATGAGCCCTCCTGCCTGGCTTCTGCATTTTCCGAAGGAACACCCACTACCCAGGCAAAATGGCCCGAAGTGCCGTGTTCTGAGCACTCCCTGTCCTAAGCACGTGTACCACCTCAATCCTGGGAGTGCTCCCATTTTGCAGGTAAGGACATTGAAGGGCAGATTTATTTGTTTTGCAGTACTGGGAGTTAAACCCCTAAGTCACTAAGTTACCCCAGCTGGGATTGAACCTGCCATCCTCATGTCTCAGCCTCCCAGAGTGCTAGGAATTTAAGTGTGTGCTACTTACTATACCCAGTGCAAGTACAGCAAGCGACAAGATCTGACACTTGGGGTCCACGTCCTGCACGACATCAGACGGCGGGCAGCCTCCCTTCTGTCTGTGAGCAGCACTGGGTCTTGCTTACCTGAGCACCACTGGCAGGCAAAGTAGGCCAAGTATACACTAGGGATGAGGGGGGAATGAGGCAAACCCAAGGGAGAGGCTGCCACTCGGCCACGGTGACCACAGCCCGGCAGACAGACCAGGACCACGCGCTCAGATGCACAGAGAGCTTGCGACGGGCCACACGGCCAGCTCGGCTTTGCTCCTAAAGGGAGAATTCCCATTTCTTGCAGCTCTGCTAACCAAGAGGGAAGCCTGTGGAAGCCCTGAGCTCCAGAAGGAGTGTGGCCCCGACAAACTCTGAGGTCCACTAGTCTCAGAAGAGCGGACTGTGGAGGAGGCTGGGAAGCCAAAGCAGAAGAATGGCAAGTTCAAGCCAAGCCGCCTAAGTAACACAGCAAGAACCTGTCTTACAGCTAAATAAATAAATAAGGTTCTGTGTTCATCCCTAATATTACAAAAAAAAAAAAAAGACATTAAAACAATAAAAAGAAAAACTGAAGAAGTTCACTATAGGGTCAAAGACTGTATTCATGTTTATACCAAAGCAATCACAAAATGCAATTTTTAGTGCCCTCTATGGATCAAGAGGCCCACAACACGCATGGTGTCCCTTAGGTAGACGCCTACTCAGGGCCCTGCAGCTTGTCCCCAGCAGACCACACCCAGGGGCAGCACCCACCAGCGTCTGTACGATGGCGTGGTTGGTGGCGTTCATGTAGGAGTTCAGCGGGAAGGCACACTCCCCTTCGCAGTAGTAGGCGGCGTAGCCTTCAGGCGCGATGATCCAGTCCTGAGGAAAGAGGGCAGGGTGGAGGGGTCCCGGCCATGCCCAGAGCCCCTGGAAAGTGAGGCAGGATCGGACCCCTGTGGACACCCTTCTGCTGCAAACCACATCCTAGGGCAAAGGCTCACGCCACGGCCACCTAGGCCTCAGCGTCCAGAAGAAACTGCAGAGCAAAAATGAGGGCAGGGCAGAGGTTGGGCAGAAACCAGCATGGGCATGTCCGCGGGCGCATCTCCTGGGCAAGAGGTGCTCAGCAAGGAGGTTGCTGATGTCAAAGAGAAGGGCTGGCATGCCCCACTCCTGCTGGCAGTGACACGTTTTGCTTTGCTGGATACCAAGCCGCCACGTCTGGGTATGCCCACCTGTCAGCACCTGATGACCCCTACAGCCTGAGTGGGAATTCTGAGCTGCAGAGTCCTAGCACATGCTCTGCATAGGTGAGCTGCTGGCAAGCGCCCCAGGACACCCTGGCCCGGAGGGTCTGGCTGGCATGGAAACCACCCAGGCCAACGGCAGACCCAGGACTAACTCTTAAGCCCTTGGGATTCTCCAGCATCTGGGGTTTAGGCTCTGTCTACATGGGAATATGGGATCTGTTGCTGGGCCTCACAGGAGGGGACCATGCCGGCTGTGTGCAAGGTCCCCCAGAAGACCCTGGATTCCCACTAACTCTAACTCCTGCAGATCTTATGATGTACCCTGTCCAGAATAGCTGAGCTCCATGGGGCAGACCTGCGGCAAGCTCAGGGCTGTATCTCCAGCCCCCCAGTGGGACTCAGAGCCCAGATGCTCCCTGAACAGCTGCTGCACAGTCACCTGTGAGATCACAGGGTCCTGCGGCACGTGGGTGAGGAGTTGGCTCCTCTGGCCTGCTCCATCCAAAGGGCTCAGAGGAGCAGCTGCCCTGTCAGCACATGCACCACCTCCAGGCTGCGGACTGGCTAGGAAGCAGCAAGCGCTTGACAGGAGCTGGGTCACCAGGTCCCTCCCCAAACATGACACAGGGGCGGAGGGCGAAGCTGTCATTCAGTCTCACGCACAGCCTGGCCTGGCCAAAGATGGGAATGAGGCATCCTGAGAGCGGGGGCCGAGTCCAAGCCCCGCCACTCCTCGAGGTGGCTTGTGCTTCCATCACAACTCTGCCCTGGGCTGTAGGGGACATTCCTGCAGCCCCAGCCCAAGGTCTGGTCCCCGAGGCCTCTACCTGGCCCCTCTGCAGCCCGCCCAGTCCTTACCTGCCAGCCCAGGTCGCGGAAGCTGACATACAGCTCGTGCTTCTTGCAGGCCTGCCGCTGGTCGCTGCTGCTGTTTTCTAGGGTGAGAAGGCAACAGACAGACGCACAGGTGCTTGGTTTCCTCCACCCCAGACAGGCTCAGCCATGACGAGAGCCGGAAGTCGAGGGCGAATCTCCCTGTGCTAAAGTCAGTTTGAGGTGCCAGAGCCCTAAAGCTCACCCCCAGTAGGGGAGCTGCCAATCCTGTCCCTTTCCCGCACTGTCCCCACTCAGAGCATTCTCAGGTTCCTCTGTGGGCTCTGGTTTCCTTTACGCACAACTTGTTTAAATACTAAACAAATCGGACTGCATCCAGATCCCACAGCTGCCCGTGAGGGTCCTAGGGAGGGGTCGGCTTCCGGACCACCTCACCAGCCCAGCCCCGAGACATTCTGGAGGAGCAGGAGATGCAGATGAGGCCTGGCACCCAGCTGCCCCAGCCCTGCCAGGAAGAGGTGAGGGCAGCGAGGCGAAGCCCACTGACCCTGTGGGAACACACACTTCTTTTTTTTTTCTCAGAGGAACCAGGGATTGAACTCCGGCCCTTGCACTGCCCAGGGAAGCGCTTATTCCACTGAGCTATCTCCCCACCGCGGAACACGCGCTTCTGAGGTTTGGAGAACAGCAGTCATGCACTGGGGTTCCCGTAAGCACGGAAGTGCAAACACTGCAAAAATCTCTCTGTGTATCTGTCCCAACGCCCCTGCAAACACACACCAACACCACACGGACCTCCCCTACCCTGCAGCCAGTGGGACTGGCTTCGTTCTCTTTTCTTCTTTCAGTGTGCAATAATTTCAGTTTAGTAATCATCAAGCATGGAACTCAGACCCTTCCTAAGAGCTGCTGACTGTGCCTTCAAGACCGGCTCCCTCCAAACCGCCAGTCTCCTCAGGGCCTTCGCCCGTGCCACCTCCTGTACTGGGTTACTCCATCTCTATTCCTCCCATGTCCGGTTCTCACCCTGACTTCCAGGTCATGTCCTCAGAGGTCCGATGATGTCACTGCTGGGTCCCCAGACCTCTCACTTAGGCTCCTGCCCACCAACATGAGTGGCAGCAACACACATGCACATGTGGAAGAGGGCTCGGGGTCTTGGTTTCTCTCCATCCCTCCAATGTCCTCCAGGCCTAAGTGTCCCCAGAAGATATCAGAGAGTAGGTGAGGTGACCGGGGCAGACATTTCAGGATGGAGAGGAAGCCCAGAAGAGGACCTGACCGAGGGACAGTCAGGGCACTCCAGGATGGGCATTCCCATCCTCCCTGGGGCAGACCTGCTGTGGCCTCCTGGAAGACTCACTCTGTGTAGTGACTGTCCCTTGAGGCAGCGACTGATCCCAATTCAAACTGTGGGACGTGGGGGGCTTCTGGAAAGAGCTCCCTCTTTCCATAAGATGCTCATCCTCTTCCTCCTGTTGCCCAGCAACAACAACGATGCTGCACCCACTGAACTGTAGCTACAGCTACAGCAGGAGAGGAACATAAGCTGAGCTCGGAGCCTACTGCTGACCACCTGCATGAACCAATCCGGTGCCTGTGGAGGTTTCTGCTACCCATGGCCAGCCAGCCCCAGCCAGTCCTGCGGGGAAGGGTCACACTGTGCAGGGAGTGGCGGTGAGCTCAAGCCCGGGGCAGCCCCTGGAGGTGTGGGCTCCAGAGCCCAGCATACACAGCCAGGCAAGGGGTCAGCACCGGCCCCGGCAAGGGGACCAGCGATCACCCTCCCTGCCCATCTGTCTAGGGAATTTAAGTCTCCACGTGCTCCAGTGACACACATACCTTTAACCACAATGCGCCCTGACCATGTCCTCCAAGCCCACGAACCACCAGGGCATCCGACAAAGAGTGAAATGTCCCCCAAAGCCAGTCTGCCTGACTCAGTGGGGCTCCTGCCTGCAAGTATCCTAGTCAGTGAGAAACGCACCGGGCCAGGCTATTGCTAAGTAGAAAGGCCAAGGCACAGGCAGCATCAGAGAAGGAACCTAAGGAGCTGGGATTCGCAAGCGTCCCCTGGAGGACACTGTCGAGTGGACATCTACGAGATACTGCTGTTGCAATGCGCAGGGCCCCAGCTGTCACCACTGCCACACAAGCCCCTTCTCTCTCTTCCCTGTGAGTGGGTCAACAGGGAACAGGAGGAGCACTGCTGCAGCCCACAGGGTTTGAGTGAAGCAGCCTGAGTGAGATCAGAGTCCTTGAACCCATTAGCTCAGGCCATGGACACTGCTAGCTTCCTGGTGCACCAAGACGAGAAGGCTCCTGGAGCCAGGAGAAATCAGTGGGGAATCTGCAACTCTGCAGTTGATTAGTATTGTCTGCCAGGAGCAGGGGAAGGCAAGCAGTGGTCTGAGTGCTGTCTTAAAGCAAAACTGTAGTGTCATATTCAAACCCAAGGCCTCACAGACCAGGGCTGAGGGCAGACTGCACCGCCAGCTGTGAGCCTGCTGCGTGGGTGGGCACTGGCCCTGCCACCAGTGATCCCAGTTGTCCTAGGGGAAAGTGGTTTGAACACCTATATATTTAGCTCTTCTTAGCAGAACAGCAAGGACACAGAACAGAGAAGATCCCCAGCTCTCATGCCAGCCACCAGCTGGCTGCAGCCACCTCCCCAGGCCTACGGGAGTAGCTGACAAGTTGCAACTGGTGCTCAGCCCCAGCCGCCACCCCCACGGGTTATCTGGTGAAGGCGGCTAATTACCAGGGCGTTGGGCCCCCAGGTCGAGGCACCGTGACTCCCAGCCCACACCATCTGAAGAGCCATTGGAGCCCAGTGGGGCAGAGGGTGCCGCAGGGAAGGACTCTGTGCAAGCAGCAGGCTGGAGCATGTGTCCCCGCCCGACGCACAAAGGGCTGCGTGTGAGAGAGGTTTCCACGTGTGTGGCCCCACAGCCTGCCACCACACACGCCCACGTGCAAGGGTGGGGCCACGCCTCGGGGTGCTTTGATTTTCTCTCTCTTTTTTTAAAGCTAAACTTCCAGGCAGGGTTTGAAAGAATTTAAAGCAAGGCCAGGAAACAGAAATCCATAGGAAGGAGGCAGATGCCACGCAGGGGACTAACTGCCACTTCAGGTAGTGAGGGGCTGGTCCCAGGGGTTATGAAAGTGGACACCTGGTCAGGGCTCGAGGAGGATGCTTGGAGGAGGGCAGGGGTTGTAGGATTCTACAGCCTCCCAGCCCAGGGGCACACATGACAGGTGTCCACACTATGCAGAAGTTGCTGAGATGGGGTTCACTAGCACCTCTGCCTTGCAGATTTTCCAAAGCCTCTAACAACAACTGAGGCTCTTGAGCTGTACCCTCATGGGTCCCCCGTCTTCTACCACACTCAGACCTCACTCCTGCACCACACACACCATGAAGCCCTGTGAGGATGTCCAGGCTTCCGTGGAATGAATTTCAAACTCAAGATGTGGCTCTCAGGAGAATGCTTTGCCCCACTGGGCGCTCTTGCCCTGCTCGGCCCTGCCCTGCCCTGCCTCGCCTCCAGAACTCCAATCCCAAAGGGGCCCTGACAACCTCTTGCCCTGGACTTCTGCCCTGAGTCCCATGGAACAGTGGGACCAGCCCAGTCTGGCTAGATGCTGAGCCCACTTCCTGTGGGGAAGGTCCCTGGTCACTCCTGCCCACTCTGGGCCTATCCCTACACACCAATGAGCGTGACAGCCACCTCCTGGCCATCCTGAATTGGCACTGTGGGGAATCTCACACCTGGGATCTCACCACTGAACAAAGTGCCAAGTGTGGAAGAAGTCCCCAGCTACAAAGGGGTTCAGGTGGCTTTTGACCTTCTGAGAACCCTAAAAGGCTCCACCTGCCACACACTGGAGCCACAGACCACTGATCTCTATCTGGGGACATGGGGGGCCCTGTTCCCCAGAAACCCTGCTCTTCACCAGGCCACACCCACAACAGGGTTCCCTGCTTCCTGGAAAAGGAACTTAACCTTCAAGGCTGTCCCAGTGGGGCAGAAGCCACTGACAAACCACATATTGAGTGGCAGGGTCCTGTGGAGGGATTCGGGCCATGTTTAGAGATTTCCAAATCTTCCAGCATTCTGTTGGTGCCATCAGCCAGGGCAGGTTTGCATCAGCGACCTCCTTGCTGCAGGACCACCAGCCCCAAGGGGACAGGCTCTGGGGCCCAACACTGGACACCCCTCCAGATCATCGGCAGATGAGAAGGTCATCCCACTGCTGCTGCTGCAGACCAACATCAACAGCAGATGGCTTTGTGACCTCCCAGCTGCAGAGCTGAGAGTCTACTACAGGTCCACTTGGTAAGGCTCAGGTGCTGGAGCTGCCCCCATCTGGAGCTCAGGGGACACAGCTTCTCCCTGGTTCGTGCCCCCCACCCCACCCCCTAGGCCAGTCAAGCAGCATCTCTGCCCCTGGTCCTCACAGCTCCCTGATCACATGAGAAGAGGGTCTCTCTCCCTAAGGATGCAGCAGTTCCTATGTCCACCTGGTCACCCAGGATAAGCTGTCCTGAGCTGAGGTCAGCGGATGCACCCCAAATTCAATGGCAAATTTAACTTCCCTTTGCCATGAATGTCACACACCCACAGGATCCAGAGAGGAAACCAGGAGGTCTCTGAGGTGACAATACCCTGCTCATTGTGAACAGCTTCGTGAGGAACAAGCAGGAAATGGCGCTCCCAGGCTGCCGATCAACTGGCTGAGAGGCAGGAAGGGGGTCCCTTGCTGTAGGCTGTGCCCTGGGGTCTGGCTGTCCTCTCTGTAGTCCCCTGGGAGCTGGTTTACTGACCTGAAGCTTTCCTTTCAGTCTGCTGGTAAACTGAGTAGTATATTTGCTATCAGTGGCAGCCCTGGCCATATGGAGAGCGGGTGGATGGAGGATCCAGCACCGGCCATGGAGTCCACAGACTGTTCTGGGACCCCGGCCCCAATTCACACCCAAAATGTACCATCCTGGGCTGCCAGCAGCCCACGGTGTCACGCGTGACCCCGCGCAGCCTGTGGGGAAAGCGGTCACGTCCCAGCCACAACACAACGCTCAGAACAAGGCCAGCACCATCCTGGCCACTTGTCAGAAACTCAGCAAGACTTGGGGACACCCAAGCTCACCCAGGCCAGGCAGGCAACTGCAGACCACACAAACTGGGAGTGCGGGTCACTCGGCCTCCCAGGGCCCGCACCCCACACTGCATCTACTGTGTCCTCTCGGACTCGTTACTGAAGCCCGTGGCCCCAGTTCTGCAGCTCTTTAAAATGAGAGGCCACCTTGTTGGTGACTCAGGAGCAACACAGCATCGCCCGCTCAGAGCTCTGTCCCAACTCACGGTGCAGGCCTGAACACTGCTTCCCCAAAAGTGTCCTCTGGAAAAAAACATCTTATCTTTAAAGCTTCTGTTCATCTTTGAACTGTTGGCAATGAAAATGTTACCTAGATGTATAATTTTCCGCTTAGAGTAACAACACTTCAAAGAAGCTGGGAATTATCCCCAACACACACACGCAGGCACGCACCAAAACCCTTCTGCATACATTCAAAAAGTACTTAAGGCTGGTTCTGAATTTCAAATATTTTTCAGTATTTAGGAAATAAATGAAGGATACAGGAAACTGTTCTCCCATGTCCTCCTCCCCTCATGTAAGGGTCAATGCGACCACTGCTTTGTCCCTAAAAATGTAGGCGCGCCTACAGGGCTCCCCACCCCACCCCTGCACTGCCACCTCCAACTCGCACCTGCCACGTTGGCCATCCTCAGCGCCTCCTGGTTCTTGGGCGTCTTGGAGCGGTTCTGGCTGCGCTGCTTGCCCCCCGTGGAGCGGACGCTGCGGAAGTGCACCTCTGTGGCCTTGAAGAACGCCACCATGAAGGGCTGCTTGTTCTGGGGCCCGTGCCGCCCAATCAGGCCCGCCAGCTTGGGGTTGACACTCTGCCCTAGACAGAAAGCAACAGATGCAGAGAACAGTGGGTGTGGGCAAGGACCGCACCGATTACTCCCACAAACCTATGGATTCAGGCAGGAAGCCGTAACCGAGCACTCGGCGTGGGCCAGGAACGGTTTCAGGCACCTGGAACACAGTGGGAACGAAACAAATCCTGTTCTGGGCCCTGAGCTTCCTTCCATGCTGGTGGGGAAAGCTGACAGCAAACATGCAGGTACCCAGTGGTGCTAAATAAGCGTAGGGAACAGATAAAATAAAGGGTGGGGGGAGCCTGGGGTTTTCAGGAGGGCTTCAGCTAGAAGCGCACACCCCATTGGTCAGAGCGGGTCACGTGTCAACCCAACTGCAGAGCCGCCTGCACTCAAGACAGCCACCAGCTGAGCGAGGACCCACGGAGGGATGCTGAGAGGCCCACAAGGCGTCTGCACGAGGGTCCTCCTTAGTCTGCCACGGATAGGCACAGACACACGGGCACGTGCAAAAGGTCAGAGGCCGAAATGGCACGGTGCCAGCAAAGCCCTGCTGCCGCCAACTCCCCCCCGCCCTTTGTGTAACCCCATTAGGGCTAGGACACTGTTACAGGCCGCCTCGGGCTGTCCCTGCAGATGGACTGCAGGGTTCAGGACACAAAGAGTGGCCAACAGGCCAGATGGAGCTGGCAGGCCACTGGTGGTGAACGAGAAATGGGCAGACCCTCGAAGGTAGTTTTCAAGCCCACTTTGGAATTTATTTTGGTTTTAATGTCAGTTTGTGAAACCAAGGTACCATCGTGTAGCTTCATAGACCGTTGAAGAAATGTACAGGGAGGTGCTCTGTTCCTCCCCCACTGGCTAGTGTGACATACAAACAAGGAGAACGGCAGGTTCTGGATTTGTTCTCAAAGAAACTGAACTTTAGACGCGAACGGGCCTGGTCTGCGCTCTGGAAGAAGGGAGGGGCCTTTTTCCAGGAGGGGGAAACTGAGCAAAGGGTTGGGCTGGAGCGCAGGAGACAAAATAAGGTTTGGATAAGCCCTGGACTGCCGTGGGACAGCCCCTTTTGATGGCCAAGGGAATCAGCAGGCAGCAGAGGTCCCCGGCTGATGGGACCGGGGCAGGAGTGAGCCAGGCTCTGGGTGGAGGAACAGCATCCACACCACCTTCCAGGCTAGGGGGGAGCTCAAGCAACGCCAGCTGGGGGCAGTGGCAGGCCTGCAGGTGAGCCTGGAGTCCTCAGCCTAGAGTGGGTGCCGAAGCCAGGCGAGGTGCAGCGGGACCCAGCAAGGTGACGATGGTGCCCACAAGGTCAGGGGAGTGCAGGGACAGCACAGGTGACAAGCCACCAGCAGTCTGGAAGGAGTAGGAGGGCAGGAGGGGGACACCAGAGCCTGGACACGGAGAGAAGAAAGTGAGGGGGTGACCTCCGGGTCCTGTGCTGTGTAGCTGTTGGCAACACAGACTGGAAACCAGCTGCCTGGGCTCTGACACAGTGGGGCCTTTGGGTACAGAGTTGACGTGGCATCTGGTAAGGGTGAATGTGTGGCGGAGGGGGAATCAGGTGGATAGGAAGTCCATCTGCTCAATGTGGCTCCTGCTCAGAGAGGCCAGGGAACCCACCCAAGGACAGAATCTGAACCAGCCTGGAGGAGGCTGAGTCGGGACACCCCCCAAGTTAGGGAGGGTAGTGAAGGCCAGTGACAGCCACAGTTCGGGAGGCCCCTGCCTGTCCACATCTAAGTTAACTTCACCTGGAGGCCTCCAGGGGTCATGAGGCTCGGCTGTGGTTTTTAGCAGCTAATGCCTGAAAGAACAAACGTCCCCAGGCCCCCAGATTTCACCTTCCCCACCCTGTTAACATGCAGCTTTCCTGCATTCTTGAGCGGGGTTTCCTCGAGTTCATGCATCTAAAATGTGAACGATTCTATAAAAGGAACCATTAAAGCTGAGCCCCTAGGAATAGCGCTTCCCCCCTGGAAGGCTTTTAGGGCAAAATAAAAATGCCTGACCTAAATATCTGATACTATCGCAGACACCTCCAAACCCAGGCCCTGGAGTGGTGTCTCTACACTAAGGGCTGCCACACTCTCCCGGCCACCACACTGGCAGGGCCTGGACAGAAGGCACACGGGAGACCTGCCTCTGCCACTGAGCCACCAGCGCAGGGCCAGAGAGGCAAAGCTGGACACTGGGGCCTCAATGTTTTCATCTGCAAGATGGGGTGATGTCACAGGCTCATCCATCCCCCCTTCCTGGTACCCAGACTGATGTGCATTTAGACAGCTGTGCCTTAACCCAGCTTCACCCTGGCCTTAAGGGTGGGGCCTGTGGTTTAACAAGAGGCAGAGGTGACTAACCCTCAGGTATTAAGAGTTGCGTCCATGACCCAATTCAATCAGGGCATGCAAGAGAGGGATCCTGGAAATTTCTAGGAAATCAACGCCCTTCTCTAACATTCAGAAGCCTGCCTGCCTTCTTTCTCTTTCTCTGTCTCTCTCTGAGGGAGGAGATAGATGGCGTCCCAGAACTGGCCACCATCTAGCACCCACAGGGAGACCCCATCCCCTCTGAGGTGACGGAGATTGAACCCAGGGCCCCTCGGGTGCTACGCAGGTGCTCTGTCTCTGTACTGCAATCTCAGGAGCCCATGTTTTCAAACAAGGTTGGTTCTGTAGAGGAACAGTAGAAAGATCAACTCTTAAGTCACGGCATCTCACATTCCCACCCCAGCCACCCAGGCGAATGCAAGCCAGTGCTCTGGGTAGTTCTTGCCACTTCTGCAGAGGCTGAGGTAGGGGATGCGGATGCCAGTCGTGCTGGGCCTGGTACAGAGCAAGTTCTTAAGAGGACAGAGATAGATCCTTCCCCGTCATTAAGTTAGGGGAAAGTTTCAGGATTTTAATTTAAAGGCTAATGAAAGACAACACAACAGAAACGCCTTCCATATCAACAGCAACAAAAAACAGCGATGGGGAAAACGCACAGCTACTATGTGATGGGCCAGCCCCGCTCCTCAACACATACCCAGGAGACTCCCATTACATAGCAACCTGCGCACAGCACCGTCGAGCAGAGTGGGATCGCGATGTGTCTGCAGACCAAAGCCGGATGGGGGAGCATTATGGGTGTCCTGGCTGGGTGACCCGGATGGAAGGGGCCACCTGGGCACTGTCGGAGGGGTAGCAGCAGTGGCAATCACAATCATAGCCAGAATCAGCTTGCAATGTGTCCCCTAAGACACAACAACCTTGTTTCAGATTTGGCTGGGTCCCTCTTCAATGCAACCTGCCCCAGGCATTTAAGATACATAAAGTAAGTAATGGCGCACACTAAGGAAGGGGGTACATTGCCACAGCATGACCACCTACAGGGTGTGCATGCTCAAATTTGCTTTCATATTGCAAGAAAGGGCCAAAAAAGGTTATTGTAGGGGAGACTTTCTTTTCCTTTAGTAAGATTACAATGTATTAGCTTTAGTGTATGGAATTATATTTAAATGTCCAGCTAGATTGATATAGGTGAATTAATGGGGGAAGGGATCATTTTATAGTGAAACTATATATGGATATACAAAATAGGATAGATATACAGCTACTTTCTCACTTCAATGAGAAGGTTCGTACTAATATTTTTTAGACAAGATACCATGTCTGCATCTTGTCCTCTGAATAACCACTATGAAGATAATATGCAATGTATTAATTATTGTAACTGTCCTACTAACCTGTTTTGAAACTGTTTCATTGCTACTTTTTCTCATTAAAATGAATAAAAAATAACATTTTAAAAATTGATTTGGGAAAGCTACAACTCTTGTTGCACAGGTCCTGCTTTACCTTGGTCTTAACCATCCAGTAGAAAAGTATGAAGACAAAATACAGGAAGTAAAGCCATGTTGTTATGTTGAGCTGTGGGGGACTCAGGTCAATAATTTCTGACATTGCCAGTTAAACAGAAGACCCAATGCTATTATGGTCTACTGGACTCTTTTAGAATATTTTGCTGAGTTTACACACCTATAATATTCAATAACGGAACTTAGAACAAATGGGGTATACCGATGAATGTCCATTTTGTATCTGTGTATTCAAAGTGGTTAGGATATATAGTTGCATTCTCTTAATGAATAGAATGATTTGTTCTAATGGTGTTTGTAAATAGGATCTCAGGTCCGCATCTTGTACAGCAATTAACCACTAAGAAGAATATATATATACAGTGTATTATTTGTTGAAACTGTACTTCCGATTTGATTTGAAACTGTCTCATTGCTGTTTATCAATAAAATTTTGAAAAAAAAATAAAAATAAAAATAAATAAAAATTGATTTGGGGAAATAAAAACTCCAGAGAGGGCCAGCCAGATAGCTCAGCGGATTAAAATGCCTGCTTAGACAGACACAGGGGACGGAGGTTTGATCCCTGGGGCCTGCCCTGCCAGCCCTCAACCCTGGAGCACACTGAGACAGTGATTGAGGCTGGGTGTGGTGGCACGCACCTGTAATCCCAGCTCTTGGGAGGCTGAAAAACAGGAGGATCACTACAAGTCCGATTTGTGCAGTGAGACCCTCTAGACCCTTACTAAGCAAATTAAAAATAAAGAATCCAGACAGGAAATAATATAAACACAATAATTGACAAAATCTGTGTCTGTGGAGAAGTGGGAAATGACTTACATTTTAGCTGAGGGTTAATACTTCTTTTGAAAAGCTTGTGGATTCACTCAAAAAGTCATATTTTGCAAATTAAAAAAACGGATGCTCTATTGAACTAGACTTCAGATAATGGTTGCAACGTGTGGAACACACTTAAACTGAGTGGCTATGAGGTCATCCAAATTTAATGCAGCGTCCTGTACTCCCCTGGGAAGCAAAGCCCCTCTAGGTGTGCGACAACGGAGCACCCCCAGGTTGCCACGACATCTGCTCCACTGACAGCCGGGCAGACGGTGCAGAGGCAGCAGCCTTCCTAGCTTCTCCCACGGGACTCCTGGCTTCCCATCCTTAGGGACCTTTTGT